AAATAGCTATAGCTCTCTCATAGTTTCTCTCATGTCTCTCATCTATCAGGGCTCTACACTAATCCACCAGAAGGTGGACCCACCTACAGAGAGTCAGAAATCACCAGTCCTTTCATTCATTTCTCTGGAACAGTTCAATGCCATCCGCTTGGTCCAGGTGGGTTAGAAATGATAGCTACATTCAAAATGGGCTACCACATATTTACAGTATCCGAATAGTTTTTTTTTAGTGATACTCACCGTGTGTAAATTCAACATGGAGTAAAAGACTGAGACTTGTATGTAAATAAAGCTTGCTTTTCTTGATTGTTTAAGTATGTTACTTATCTCATGGAATAGTTTTATTCATTTCTAGACACTCACAGTTATCTGTTTGTTGAGGGGGGGCTTGATCACTACCTGCATCCAATAGCCATTTGCGTCATTATGAAACATACAGTTGTGGTCAGGATCATGTGAATGAATGTCATGGTAATTTGGAGCTTGAGTGTACAGCATATACCTTTAATGACTTTGATGACTTTAATGATTTTATTTATTATTATATTTATTTTTTTGCACAGTATGTACTGTATGTAAACTGTAAGTGTCATCACAGAGTATACACCAGTCCCTGGCTGCACTGAGCAAGGTTATCCGAGGGACTCAACTGTTAACTCCAGAAGTCCAGAAACTGGCCACTGCCCTACTAAATCAAGAGGTAAGACAGGCAAAAGACAGAGAAACTCAGCCCTAACACTCTATGTGCTATTTTATGCTTTTGAGTACATGTGTTATCTAGAGTGTTTTAATGTTTCTCATGATGATTTATTGAATGGGGCTTTGTGCAATAAATGGTAAATGGTAATATGGCAATAAATGTGGAATACAACTGAAAATAAAATGGAAGGCCTTACCCTGATAGTATTACAAATGCTCCCAAATGCTGTGTGCAATGCATCTTTTAACTCACATTTAACTTAAATCTTTCTACAATGCTGCTGAAGGTTTCTAGCTCTTACCATAAAATACACAGTTAGCTCTGTCTTCAGTGACAGTGACAATGTAAAGTAAAGCTTTCTTTTTACCATATTGTTTTTGAGGGGGACTGCAATTCTTTTTATTCTGTGGTGAAATGAAGGCCACAGGGACAGGCCCATACACAGTATACAGAGCTGACATGTAGACATGTAGCAAACACAATATGTATCCTTGTATGTCCTCAGGCTGAGTTGGGGACAAAGGGGATATTATGAGGTAGAGAAGAAGAGACACAGCCAACCTTTCACTCCTTCTGTGTGTAATCTCCAGAGAGAAGCCTTGGGCATAATTCCTGTTTCACTGCTTCCCTTCTCTCTCTTTTTATATTAATCAGCAGGTTTTTTTAGTCTTATCCCAGTTGCCCTCTCGACCAGCTCCAGTCTTTATCTGTCACATTTTCCAATCTTTGATTTCCTTACATTTTCTCTATCTTGCTAGCTTTTTCTTTTAATATGCAGTTATGGTAAAAGTAAAGTGCACCCTCTGTCTGTTCTAAGGTTTTTATATTATCAGGACATAATAAAAGATCATGTGGTTCTTACCAGGCAAATTAGGAAAATGCAACTTCAGATAAACAACAGCTCACAACATATTTCATATTTCATTGTGTCATTGCTTGTTTAACAGAAATTATTTTGGCACATGCTTCTTTATGATGTTGCTTCAGTTCATTGACATTTGCGGGGATTTATGTGTTTCTTTCCTGTTGTGGTTTGGAGTTTGACTGGAACTGCTGCTGTTTGCTGCTGCGGTTGGGATCACTGACCTGTTTCAGGACTCAATTTGGCCAAGCTTAAGCTGTCAGACAGACGGCATCATATTTGACTCGTATACAAAGGATTTGACTGTCAACTCAATGACTTCAATATGCACAGGTTCTGTGGCTTCAGAACAAGCTAAAATTATCGCCCTTCTGTGACAATTCTTGACAGTTAGTGTTTGTGCCGATATATTGTGTATGATTTTCTCCAAACAAAATTATGGCCAAACATCTCCACTTTGGTCTCATCTATTCAAAGAACTACATATAATATTCTGAAACCTATAGAATCTATGATCCAACCCTTTTGCAGTTTCCCTGAGCATTGCACGGTCTGATTTTTGGGGGAAGTTGCTGAGATGTTCACTGATGGGAAGATTGGCAGCAATTTTGAATGTTTTCCACTTGTGAATAATCTTTATCAATAGATAGACTTTAAATTCTTTTGAATTGCCTTATAACTCTTCCTAGATTGATGGGCAACAACAAACGTTTCTTTTAACATGCTCCAGACCAGCAAACTGCCAGAACCTTTGCTTTTATAGAGGTGTTCGTACTTGCTGATGACCACTCTGCATTGGTTTATCACCACCTTGCTGGTACTTACCCTCTTAATTGCTATTGAAACAAGAAGGGTCTACTTCGTTTTCCACACGTCTTATACATTTTGGGTAGTTTGTTTGTTTTAATAAATGTCACTGTGTAATGGGTAATGCTTTGTAGTTCATCTCAGGTTATGTGTACCTTATTATAAGACTTACTAAAGACTGGACTTTTTATCATGTTCTGATATTTAAAATCTATTCCGAATTTCCAAATAATAAAATATGTTAGTGGTTTAAAAATATATGTAATTACAATTAAGTCAGTTATCAATGGGAACTGTACATATAATGTATAAAACAAAACAAAGCCATTTGTTTTATAATTTATTCTCTAATACATCTAATTTATATCTCAATTATAATTCTGTATCACAAAAACCCCCAAAACACTGTCCATCAGCTTTTAGCACACTATGGTCTAAATAAAAACTTTATTTTTTAAAAAAAAAAAAAAGTCTGATTTCCACTTTTAAGTGTTTAACCTTTAACATTATGTACATTGTTTTCCTAAAAGAACATACCTTGTTGTCCATTTTAACTGACCTATGTAACTCCTCAGTGCTGTATATGAAACAGATGCAGTCACAGTTTTTATACAAGTTTTATAAGAGTTCTGTTCAGCCTATTCTGAGCTTTTTCCTTTATGGTCTGTCTAAAGATTTTCTCTCTGTAATATGCATAATCAAGATACTGTGTTTTACTTGTTTGATAAAGACAAAAATGCATTTTGTTAGCTGTATAGATCAGGAGAATTTTTTCAATATCATAGCTTTTTATCATAGCTTTTTTTCTTTTTTTATATTAAAAAAAGATCATTAATTTTGACCCACAATATTGTTTGAAGCTCTCTGATGTGAAGCTTCTCCCAGAGAGGGAGCATTTCTTGACAACTAAATCAGAGTTTTGCCAGAAAAGATATTGCCTAGAGTATAAAAAGGTTGTTGAACCATAGAAAAAGCAGCAGCTGTTATGTTTCCTGCTGCACCTTTTGCAGAAACACAAAATTCTCGGCATATATCGAATTTACTGGCAGCTAAATTTTTAACAAACACCTGATGACTTCTGTGACCCTAGCTGTCAGTATTTTTACATCACTGACAAGAAGCCCCTGAGTGAATTGGCCTAAATGTGATTCTCCCTGCAATGCTACAGTACATGACTATAATATTTGGTTCTAACATTATTTTAAACCTCAGTAATTTAAAGAAACTTTATCACTGTCCAAGCAGTAAGTAATTACGTATGTACAGCTTCAGTTATTTATGACTATATAAAGTCAAGGTTTCCAGGGGGGCAAACTAAACAGACAATGATATTCCTCCCTCACACCTAAAGTTCAAGGCAGTTGGCTGTCCTCCATGAGCCTGACTGAGGAGTTTTTCTGTCTCACTGTGGCCAGGTTTGGTGCTGAGAAAATCACTGTGTTTTGTGTTTTTCTTTTCTTTTCTTTTTGTTAAAGTTCTTATGTTGCAACTGGGCACTACTACTACTACAAATGTCACTGAAAATTGAACCAAACAGAAGCATTTTTACACAAGCAGAAAATTAAAATATGAGATCAGATATAGCACTGGTAAAATAAAAGCGTGTGCTTCTTAAGGTAAGGCCTTGAATTTGTATTACACATTAATTTTTTAAATATTACTGGAAAAAATCCTAATTACATACAACAGATACAGTTAAGTGAGCATTTAGTGTCTTTTATAACAAAACAGAATATAAAATAAATTGGAGTCTTTACAGGAAATACTGTTGCATACAATGAGCAGATCGCATGGATTAATGCCATTTTGCATTTGGGCTTCTATTATAACCGACTGTTACTAATTAACCCCATTTAAATCAGAGAAGGTTAGAATGAGCTGATGATGCGATTTATGCATTTGAAAAATGTTCCATTTATGGTTCTGATAATGTAAAAGTGTAGCAGGCGCAGTTCTGAGGGGATCAGCTCTGCTGCCCTTTCTCTCAGCTGTGCAGTAAAAAATAATTACATGATTGGAAAGAACCCAAACTACCTACTTTCTGATGGGGGGCTTGGGTTGTATGAGAATCATAAGCAGTGCTGCAAGACAGAAAAAGTGTTACCACTACCTTCATTTGATAGAAAGAGCATGATTATCAGGACATGGTGACCGATGAGGAAATGGCTTTTTGATTAAAGGTGAAGTAATCTCTGGTATCAGTTAGATTTTCAGTACCACTTGTAGTAATTCTCAGGTCAATACTAATCATCATCATAGTAGCTTGGGTTTGTAACCAAAAAGTAGTTATTCAACATATTATCAACACATACATTGATCAGGCATAACGTTAAGACCACTTACAGGTGACGTGATTAAGACAGATTTTCTCTTCATTAGCTCTGTTAGTGTGTGGTATCAGTATCAGTCGGGGTGCTTATGCTGACCCATATCCACTGCTGAAAGCACCAGCAATGGCACATAAGTATCAGAACTAGACCATGGAGAAACGGAAGAAGTTGGCCTGGTCTGATGCATATCATGTGCATGACCCAGGTGTGTGTTCACTGCTCGCTTGGGGAACACCTGGCACCAGGATGCAGAAAAAAGGAAAGCCAGCAGAGGCAGTTTGCTGCTTTGGGCAATGTTCTGGTAGGAAACCTTGGCTCCTGCCACCTACCTAAGCATTGTTGCAGACCTTGTACACACTTTCATTAACATATCAGGTAATCCCTGATGGCTGTGGCCTCTTTCAGCAGGATAATGTGGCATGCCACAAAGCAAAAATGGATCAGGAATGGTTTGAAGAGCACAGCAACAACAAGTATGAGGTGCACACTTGGCCTCTAAATTCCCCAGATTTCAATCAATTGAGCATCCAGGATTCAATTGAGTAAAATGGGTGCCAATACAATATTAGGTAGGTGGTTATGATGTTATGTCTGATCGGTGTATATTGATTGCGCTCCTGTATACATTTGGTTTGTGTCTCTGTTTTCTGCCACCCTTATCTTGTTAAAAAATAATAATTAAAACAGCATTTTACACTTATTTGTACCCTACAAATGGCAGTGACTTAACTTAAACCAGCATGTTTTTCCTCCTGAGACACTTCAGTGCAACACACACACATACATACACACACCCATCCCTGCAGCAGGAGAGTGAGTGAATGGTTGACCTGCAGCTGAGAGACATGCAAAGTCTCTTTTATTTCCATTATGGCTTTCATGCCTAAATACCACCAAATTCTCAATTCTCAGCCTCCTGCTGTGCATGTTTGTGCATGTGTGTGTGAGTCAAATCTTTGATCTCTGTTTAACGGTAACATACACGGCCTAACGTGTTCAGGAGTTAACATTCTTCTCCTGAGGAAAGCTTTCCTTTCCCAACCCTGCAAACATTTTACATTTGTCTGTGACTTCCAAATTAAGACATTACAGATATTGCTGCACGGACAAGACTGTCTGTGGATCTGCAACAGTTACTTACGTCAGGAGACAGACAGACAGACAGCACTGTTTATGTACACGAGAGTATTTTTCAATTGTGAAGTTTGATTTAGCATTGTGACAAGTCACAAATATATTCAGTATTTTTACAATATACAAAATAGTGCCTGAGATTTATCTCAGTATCACCCAGCTTTAACTTTTTTGCATGTCATGACAGAAATTGAGGAGGACATGTCACCAGTGACATCACAGAAACTTAAATATAGATTGCATTTTAGCTGGACCACAGTGAGGATGTAGCTGGGCGCAGCGTGCCCTTCAGTGACTTACACATATTGTTAAATTTGTATTTTGAATCGTGTCAAGGCAACTCGACAGGGGCTGATGTTGCTGCAGTCCTCCTGCAGATTAACTGTGGCTTGGCTGCCAGCATGGTTAGGAGAAGGAAATAGAGGCAGGTTCACATAGTGGCAGAGTAAACCTGCAGAGTACTCCTGTTTTGTTTTGGATTTTTTTTTGTTTGTTTTTTAAAAAACATGGTTTACATCACTCTTTTGCTTATACTCATTTTTGTGATTTTTGCTTTTATTATTGCTTGCATTGACCTTTATTCTCTGTGCTTGTTTCCTCTTGTCTCAGTGTCCTTTAACATGGCAGAATAAATGGGAGGGACCAGAGGAGCCAATGCAGTACCTCAGAGCTGTAGTAACACGGGCCCTCGCCATACAGGTAACATGTGATGGATGGTATAGCAAAAAGACATAATCTGCTGTCTTTCTTTAGGAACCTGCTTTTCACCACAGTCACAAAAAGAATATTTATAAAAAGTAGACAAACATCTATTAACATGCTATGCAATACATGACAAATATAGTGCATTCTTCGTGCGTGGGTTCTCTCCAGATACTGTGGTTTCCTCCCACAGTCCAAAGACATGGAGTTAGTATAATTGAAAACCCTAAATTGCCCCGTGTGAATGTGAGTGCGAATAGTTGTGTGTGTCTATATGTTGGCCCTGTGACAGACTGACGACCTGTACTGGGTGTACCCTGCCCCTCGCCCTAAGACAGCTGGGATAGCCTCCAGCACCCCCACAACCCTGAAAAGGATAAAAGGAAGAGAATGGATGGATGGAAAAGTGCAAATGTTTTGAGGCTTAATGCCACAATGGGAAATGGGTGCCAAAATATATGGAAAATCAGTACATAAGGCAAAAAAAAAAAGAGTTTGCACAAAGCTCAGTATTTGTTATGGCCACCTTTATCCTGTAACACAGCCTGAACACCTTTAGGCAGGCTTTCTTGTAATTTCTTTAAGTAGTCTTCTGGAATAGGTCTCCAGGCTTCTTGAAGGACATTCAAAGCTCTTCTTTGGATGTTGGCTTCCTTTTGTTCTCTTCTCTATAAAGATTATTCCACACTGCTTC